CAGGCCATACGGGGGCTTTTGGAAGTTGGAAGCTTACTTGGTGATTGTTTATCATGAGAATAGCTAGAGTACCTACCAATACTCAAACGTTTCTGTGACTCTTCTTTTAGATCAATCGGTCGCACTTGGTTTTATAGCAACATTTCGCATGCAGCACAAAACAAACAAACACCTAAACCGCTTAGCCAATGAATGATACGACAGGGTCGGGAATGATCCACGAAGTAAGGAGAACATGCATTCAAATTAAAGGTCTCCTAAGGAGTGAAACCCACATACATGATATCATCAACAGTGCCTGGTGCTTGTCAAAAATCGAAAGGGTTAATCCAAACATTCAGATCATGTTAACAATTCGGATTTTTTTAATGGCAATAAATGAATGTTATGAAATTCAATTGCTGGTTTCATCGGAGTAACATTGTGACATAAATTTACAGCTGAAATGCGCGCGCGCACACACTGTGTGAACTTAGTGCAATAGTGAAACCAGTAATCTCATGGAAGTCTCCAACAACTAGGGTCATCATATAGCTCAAAGTACCGTCCTAATTTGGCCATCACGCTCTCACTCAGCTGTACACGCGAATTCATGCAATTTTATCAAGCATAGAAACTTACGAATTAAAAACAGTGATTTATTTGGGGTGGTGCGAAAGTGAGTTACCAGCTCAGGTTATGGGATAAGGTCTAACTGCAAACCAGACGATAAAACCTACAAAGGTAGGTGTTGAATAGTCGCCGGCATGGACTAATTGATGAGAGAGGGCCGATCAATCGTTCGGGAATCGAGGCGCTGATACCAACAGCATATGAACCAGTTTCCCACCGGCTTCAATAATTCATAAAAATGTGATTACATTTTTCGATTGTGGACGCTACCCTGTGCTGCCCGGACCCCGTAGATTTTTCCTGGCTTTGGTATTTGTGCTATTTCGTCCCCTGGTCCAATTTAACTCGGGTTCTACTTTCATTTCCGTTTTGTTTTCTATTTCGGAAATCAATCAGTTGTTTAATTAAGTGCCTCTACAGTTGGTTTGTACCCACATCTCTCAGAGGAATGAAAGTGAAGTGCACTTTATTCGCACACTGCATTGAAATGTTTGCTCTTTGACTGTGTGTGTGTGTGTGTGTGAGGAGGTGGTGTATTCCATGTTTCTCTTCGTTTACCGTTCGTTTCCTTCATCTCCGCTTGTATGTCGCGCGGTACAGTGACTCGACCGCCACCACCTCAGCAGATTATTAGTCCAGTCTATGCAATTGGGGCGTTGCTCGTCATTTTAACCGATTGTTACATTCTGGGTTCGCATCAAGACTATCAAGTGGTTTACTGAATCGATAACTCCCAAATACATCATCTCCAAGTTTTTTTTCAGCCTCGACTCACAGTTTTTGTCAAAGTCGAATCGCACTCTGCTACGGAGCTATGATGGACGACAAAACGAGAGGCTTTGTCTGTATTTTTGGCCCCTATTACAGGGGAACAAAGATTGGAAATAATCCACCGGCTTGTTGAACAGTCAATAGTGACAGCTTGTGATAGCAATGCACGACCTATGCGGGATTACCTTCGGTGAATCGCCTCTCATGACTCCCCCTCCGCCTCGAGAGTTTCGCTTTTTTTCTGATTTTGTAAACCACCTATTGATTTTCTGATGAGCGTTTAATGAAATCCCGCGTTCGTTGTCTTATTCTGTCTCCAGGTGATGATGGCTTGGCTGAACCGGGAACAGGCACAATGATAAAAGAGTCTGAGCATCTGTATTCGCTCTGGTGTTCCGGCCGAATGTACTGTGAAGCCATGCTGGTTGAGTTACGTCTGCTCAGGCGTCAGTGTCTATTGTTCATGATGTTCAGCTGGCTGAGACCACTGCACGACACGGTTGTAAGTTTCTCTCAGAGTTATTTCGTTCTCGTCATTTTTAACTGAATATTTCACTAAACATCTTGATGTGGCTTTATATATTCGTTTCATCTATTTTTCGCACTGGCGCCAGAGCTGCTTTTGAACGTGATTTCAGAGTTTGTGAACATCGTGCACAGGACGCGTCACCATGGTGAACGGCTGCTCTTTAGGGAGGTTGGAAAATTTTGTAATCTTGATCCTGTTCACAGGAGTTTTGATAGGTGTGTCCCGGTTAAGTAAATGAATAAGCAAGCAGTGAATCAAGCAATACGTTTATTGTAGTAGGTCCACACCTAGCCCATCCGTAGGCCGGTGAGCAAGCAGGAGCGGGAAACACGTAGATAGGCAGGCAGGCAGGCAGGCCGACAAACGGCTCAAGCGTCACACGACATCCGAATGCCGTCAAGTTGGGCATTGAAACAGTCGACGAATCAATCATTCCGGCCACAGGCGTGTATGACAAACGTATCAGTCTATTGTAGACCACAACAATAGGCGAACTGCTTTTCAATCGTATGTGATGATGCAACTTCGGAAAGAGAGAGAGAGAAAGAAAGAGTTCAGCGGTACCGAACTTCCATTGATCTCTCTTTATCGAATTTTTCAACCGTTGGGAAGTCACCATCATAGATGGATGGGTTACGGAGATATACACGTTGCACCAGCGCGACAACGTATAGCTTCAGTGTGGCGCAGGAGCTATCGACTTGCCTATCGGGTGGGTTCCTGGGGTGTGGTCCATACTGCACTTCAGAAGCTATGTAAAGTTATCACGTGAGTGTTGTTGTGCTAGATAGAGACTGAGAACGGGTGTTACTCTTTAGACTCCACAAATATACTTTCCAAGCTATTAGTGCTGCCTAACATATATAGTATTACGTATGTAAGTGTGAATAGAGCCATGCAAACTGTGATGATACAAATCGAGGATCGCAGATTATGTTGATTTTTTCTTTTCATCGAGACGCCACGGTTACAATAGATTTTGCTCTCAACATTCCAATCCGCATTCTGTTCTTTTATCCCCGATTGGGTGACCAAAACCGGCGCACGAAAGTGCATGATTAATAGTTGTACAATCTGAAACGGAAACATGGTTACACTTCTCTGCCCTAACCATTCTTTCCAGGAGGCTCCTGGTATCTAGATTAAAAGAAATTGTCGCTTGGGGGCAGATTTCACCATATCTTAACCTCCGCTGTCGTAATGGTAATCGTTGACTTCACTTGGAAAAAAGTAATTTGTCTTAAGCCGGTGGAATACGAACATCTACTTATGTTGGTTGCTTGTTTAATCTGGGGCGGTGGTGTTTGATCGGTATAAGTCCACTTCACACCCATTCGAAGGTCATGTGTTCGAATCTCATCATTTTCGTCCTTTTGCATTTCTCCAGACAACCTTCATTTGATCTCATCTTCCTCCTGGAAAGCTGACTGCACCATTATACATTCAATATATAGGAAAATAAAAGTTGTTTTCTTTGACATTTACCAGTTACCCTGTAACACCCCTCCTCCTCCACCTCGCGCCCTCCATTTAAGGTGGCTAAGGTAATCATGGAAGATGCCGAAATGGACGGTTGGGTGATGGCTGTGGGACGGAAACGTCGTGTCCAGATTCTGGCCAAAGATCACCAGGATTTGGCTTTTTTCTGCCCGGACAAACGCGGTCAGCGTCATCCGGGGTTGCCCGAATCGTTCACAGTCTTGAATGAGATTCCCGAGGCGATGACCAGTATGTTGAATGCTCCCGTAAGTCTCGGAGATTATCCAATACTGGTCGCATTATTCACACCAGTGCAATTCGCTATTGTTTGCTAGATCGATATACCGCCCGAATTCCACTTAACTTTTCGCAATCTCTGTTTCTTTTCATTTGCTTTGGACAAGTAGTATAAGACTTAAACTCCTTAATCACGAAGATCTACTGTTCAGTTAAGGAAACCTGAATCCTAAGGCGAACCGCATTGGGTCCCAAAGAGTTGGTGTTATATGAAGTTGAGCGACAGTTGTATCCAATTAAATTTTGATAGCATTAACTGCGCCTTGTTCTGCCACTGGAGACCATTTCAAATCCTGATGAGTTACTTAGTCTCCTGCCTAAGTTGAAGTCACATTGAGGCGCTTCGGTTACTATCACCTGGATGCCCTCAGGTTAAGCAGAGGTAAATGCTACCGGGCGCGTCCCCGGGTTGAGGATAGGGAGGTATCTTTACCGAAGAAGGTTTGCTGTGAATAAGTTGTGACATACCGCAACAAATAAGCAGTCGTGAACAAACAGCGGCTGCACTACCAGGGTGTGCTGGGTTTCAGGCTGGCTAATAGCCGCATAAGCCCAATGACGGTGTCGTGACAAACGTAGGTGTGACTGGCCTTTTAAAACTAAAGTCACTGACCCCCTCACTTCCGAGGTGAGGGATTACTTCCGGCTGCCTTGCAGTTCGCACTTGGTTGCGCCCTCAAAATAAAAAAAACGCCGAGTGATACTGGGGACGTCCCTCGTACCAAACTCCCAGGGAACTTCATGATTATGTCTGGAGCCGGTTTATCCTTTTTGTTTTAAGATATTCACTGCAGTTTATGTTCATCCCTCATTGCTTTCTCCAAGTTGCTGGTTACTGAACTAGGGTGGGAATGGTTCAATTTTTACAACCAATAACCATGCACTTTCGTGCTCCGGAGTGGTATCCGACAGACAATGTGACACCGTGATGGCATGCACTTTTTCCTCTTTTTTTTGCTCAGGTATGCAAATTCTTGACGGATAACGAAGAACGCATTGAGTACCTGTTTTTCTCCGATCAATACACCGGACCGAGACCACCGCAAGAGTGAGTCCACTTTGCACACTCGCTACCTCATGCTCCTTCGTTTTTGTAGGTGTGAGCAGCCCAGTGTGTTGTCTTTCATCGATAAGTGCTTTGTTGTGAGCGATTGGCGTCGTGTGTCTGCTCACTCTTGATGTTTTTCCTTATCCAATGCTGATTGCGGGACAACGAGAGTGCTTGCTGTGTAAAATTTCAAAAAGGTGTGCTGATAGGCGTTCGTCGCCAATTTGGAGACCAATTGTTTTTTTTTATCATGGAAAATTTGGACAGTTATAGGTGTTTATCGTCTGCTGATTGGTTTTTTTCATCAGCGAGTAAGCGTTCAGAATCTGGAATAAAAAGAAATATGCAGTTATAATCGGCATACCTCCCCGAACCTTGCGCCATCTGCTTCACTCTTTTAGCTGGAGTGTTCTTTGAACTAATCACATTTACGAAGTCTAACCATTGCGTAACTGCTGTTGCACAGCACTCCCTAGATTTTTCCTCCAAGTGGCATTTGTTCAATCTCAGGTCAGTTACATACTAAATGAAATGATAGTATGTCAGTTGTAAGTATTTTGCTTAAACCGGTGGTTTGCCACCCCAAGTCCCGGGGCTTAGGTTGCCGGTTACCATCACTGAACAGCAGGTCCTCGTGACTATGGGGTTCGCCCCATCTGCTGTTCATCACACTTAGGTGTGTAATGAAAAAATCCTTATGCAAACTTGCTCATGGAGTTGTATTTTCTTCAACCGCATTTTCTGGATTAAAATAAGAAAAAAAAATTAATCCTCGCAAGTTAAGCATTTCCCAAGGTAAAGAAATAAAATAATTTTCCAGGCATCATGTGAACCAGAAGCGGATCATTTGGGAGTTTGTTTTTCCCCCATGTACAACAGTTCTCCTAGGTCGAATCAGGTACTTGTTCCAGCTTAAAGAATTTTTGTGTGCAAAAATTTGGTTCAGTTAAAAGGCTTTTGTCAGTCAGGATTGTATTGTATTGTAATAACTTCTTTGAACTTGACCGGAACTATCGTTGTCACTTATACCACATGATTTATCTAGGCACGATCCTTTTAATCACATGCCACCATCTATTGGTTATTGACTATGCTCACGATAACTAAGAGCCTACCAACTTTGGTTGTTGCATCTGTATCAGTAACTACCCAAAATTTGTGTCTGAAAATCTATCTGATAGCCGGTTTTCTATTCAAACACTCGACTTTATTGATTTCCCTGATTAATTGCATCACGTGCCCAGAGGAAAATTGCACCATATAACTAATTGGAATTCTGATAGTAACTGTGGCATCCCGGTTCTGTGAATGAATACAAACTAGATTTTGGCTCATCTTCGCGATATGCAGCAATTCAAACCCAAACGAACTAGTGTTGTAAGCTACACCTGGTTTCAATAGCTTTGGGGTGGTATTGAGTATTGACCATTCTACGACAAAAGAAGGGATTGTGACAGCGGGTTTGGAATCCCGAATGTGGTACCAATTTGAGGCGTTCTATTGTTATCAGTGCATCCCAGCTGAGGTTTTGCTATCTCAGTTTTGATCAATAGTAAATAGTTTCTGCTACGAGATTGACCACTCCTCTCAGTGTGTTCCGTACCACTGTTTCCATAATCAGATCTATATTTAACTTTGTTATAGATCTGATTATGAAAGCAGCCCTATCCCCGTGCAAGGATAGTGGCATCGATTTATTCCCAGGTGGCAGACTGTCTGATCTAGAGTATGAAGATGACATTGTGCTACTAAGTGAAGATCCAGGTAAGTTACAAGCTTTTCTGGTAAGTTTGGGTGCTAGGGTAGCTATGTTTGGTATGCGTTTTGCACCTTCAAAGTATAAATGCTACTACGAGACTGGGTTGGTCCAGCACCCAGTCTCACTCTAATCGGGGACGTAATAGAGCAGGTGGATAAGTTTTGTTATTTGGGCAGCTACATCTCACCCGGTGGACGCATCACGGGAACAGGTGGATAAGTTTTGTTATTTGGGCAGCTACATCTCACCCGGTGGACGCATCACGGATCGTCAGCTCGCATACAGAAGGCTCGGTTGGCATTTGCTAACTTGAGACACCTGTGGCACCGTCGCGACACCCGGCTGTCTGTGAAGGGTCGAGTGTACGCCGCGACAGTTCGGCCAGTTCTGCTCTACGTTGCATAAACTTGGCCATTAAGAAAACAGGATAAAGACAGACTGTCGGTGTTTGAACACCGCTGTCCTTGGCCACTAAGGGAACAGGATAAAGACAGACTGTCGGTGTTTGAACACCGCTGTCTACGCGTTGCACGAATCTGGTGGGGTAGCCGGATGAGCACTGCTGAGGTTAGGGACAGAGTTTTGGGACGAATCTGGTGGGGTAGCCGGATGAGCCAATGCTGAGGTTGGGGCAGAGTTCAGGATATCCGCGGTCGCCCACTGGAGCAAGTGACCGACCTCCATAGATTACGTTGATTGGGACGTGTTACGCTTGTCACCAG